TTCAGACACTGCGACTTGAGTATGGTAGAGTCTTTTATCCTGAAGAGTGTCCTCGACAGATGCCTAGTAATGGTGTGGTGTAGCGGATGAAGGGTATCATCGGTCATTTTGCATGCCAGCTTCATCGACGTAGTGGTAACGGTTCACTAGGATGGACTGCTCGATGAAAACCTCTGCACCACGTTTTACCCATGTCTCATCTTCTGCGACCCCGCTGTTGCCAACGGACCTGTGGAATCTTGCTTAGAGCAATTTGCTCTCTTTTGAACCTCTTCTAACGTCCATTCGTTCAACGACCATCTCAACAATTTTAGCTAACTGCTGTTTAAACATTCTCGCTGTTTCAACCAAACTATAGCACCTTGTTTGTACCTTTATCTCTTCGTTCGCTTTCATATTTCTCCTTGTTTTTCCCAATGTGCATTTTTCCATGCATATTCGTAATGTGCAACTTTTGAGCACCTTTCCTGAATCAGCTTTGTAAGTTTCTCATCTATCAGTTAACACTGTGAACAAGCACTGATCGAAGACCTTCCATTTTAAGCACCTCTATACTCAAGGAATAACATATTCAGTCTTTTTAAAATGTGCCATGCTAATTCTACAGTTCGTCGATTTTGAAAGTTTGTTCATATCGCACTGTGATCTCTCTTTTGGCTAGGACACAGGAACCAGAATATGTCGACAAATTCCCACTGCTACCAGTTCAAGAGCATGGATGTCACAGCGTTGAAATTCGACCAGTGCAATTCTCATCTGGGATGCACCGGTCTGCTGAACTGTTGCCCAACGCCACTCGGCTATCGATGCATTCCGCCTAGAATCTCCTGCACCGGTAATAGTGTCAGAATTAATTCTACCGGAATCGAACGCTTACTTGATGTCTCATGGTTTTCAGTGAAGCCTGGCAAATGTTCGCATTTATCAGAAACACAGGAAGTGGGGAAAAAAACTTTGAACTGCACCTGTGACGACGATTGTCTCAATGAAGACAAATGCTGCCTGATTGGAAAGCAGAAAAGATGTATAAAGCCTCCGCAGTTGAAAAGTAAGAAAACATTTTAACGTCTTTATGTTTTGCTTTCCAAGCCAGAGTTAAGTTCGGCTTTAACTCTCTCGAATTACAAATGTTCTTTCCATACTATACGTAAGAGTTACGATTCCAGAAGTCCTTAGTAATGCATAAACTTTACGTAAGTCGAATTTAATCAATCCCCACCCGTTAATTACACCTTATGGAATGCGCATGACTCATCGTTCCCGGTTTCAATTCCGGTTAAGAAAGGAGGAGGGTTGGACACCGAGGCGGTGGCGGTGTCTGTAAAATTCGGCCACCTGCCACTCATGGTATTGACGCCATCGAACATCATACCGGATCGGTGGTCACTCGGTTTGCCAAACGCTGCGCAGACTGCAAAAAGTCGTCGATCACAACCTGCTCCTCGTCCTCTGCAAGGCGGGGGGCGTAGCTGCATG